TAATATATAAATGTTCCTACACATAAAAAATTATTGTTAATGTTTATGAATTAATTAATGCCATTAACGTAATAATTTAGTGTATTTAGTGTTGAAATCATAATATTGGTTATTAGTTAATAATTGAAATGATTAATGACATTATATGAACATATTAGTTCATCTAGTGAATTAATTGCATTGAACTTTAATTAGTGAAATTTAATATATTAATAATACTCCACATATGTTGGTAATGTTTATAATTTAGAGTTTTTAACCTGTATAATTTTTTTATTACAATATTCAGGCATAATGTATAGACAAAATAGAATTTGGATGTATGATAAACATGCGGTATTGTACGAAATGCAATCAAATTTTCTTGAAGGAGTTGAGGAGTTTATTGCATTCGCACTTGAACACCCGGCTTAAATAAAACATAGTCAGGGATCTGATCCGTGACTAACGTGTCGGAGCATTTATTCCGATCACGAATTAGTCACGGACCTGGTCCATGACTAAACCGTGACTACATTTAGTCACGGATAAAGTTTAGTGACTAGATATAATCACGCAAGATTAGTCACGACTTTAGTCACGGACACAATCCGTGACTAACATAGTTAGTCACGGAATTTTTACACTACGGTCCATGACTAAATCCTTGACTACATGCGATTTTTTTTGTAGTGGCACTCAGATAGATGAACGGCCTCTCGGTTAGTTGAGGTGTGTTGTATACGGACTCTTATTATCATTTAATAAGATACGGCTCACTTACTACTCTTGTTATTGACCCATCTTACTTGCTTGCATCATACATCCATAAAAACTCTCCACTCGAAATTCATTGGAATGTGTTGGGTCTTTAGGTTGAAAGAATAAACTTCAACACATATATTATAATCAAATGGTTTCCCATTAAAAAGAAATAACGACGTCAAAGTAAGTAAATACAAAATAAATTAAGAAGTAGGCAAAGTTTTAAATGATGCTTCCTATATTATAAATGGAGATCTCCAAAACCAAGTTTTAGCTCATATAAGTTTAACATAGGGGTGGGTAGGTGGAACCGAAAACCTAATTGCCAAAACCGAATCGTATGCAAAATAAACCAAATCGCAAGAAAATCAAAACTGATTTGAACTAAAAACCTAATCAAATTGTAATCGTTTGATTTGGTTTTGCTTTCACCTCTAAAACCCTAACCCGAAATTTTATGTGTTGCTTTGTTTATTAACCATTAAGTATAATATTTTGTTTGGTTCATATTCATAATTCAAAGATAGTGTTTGATGCTAGAACTATTATGATACATATATGTGTGTATATATAAGATATTAATATGTGATATTTATAGTTTCATTAAGAGACACTGTATTGACATTCTGTAATATTATTTACAATTTTGTTATTTGTTGCACGACAATGATATTTTATTGTGATAATATATGTGATAGAGTATATAGACTCGGACCCCCGGGTCTCACGACTATTGGGCCCGGACAGCGGTCCACTCATGCTTATCCGACGTCATTTATAGCATTTGTATTATTGTAGAGTTCATATATCATTTGTATGTACTAGATTAGTCTTTTATGTAGTTGGGCCTGTCGGGCCCATATTAGCGGCCCGACCCATTATTTGTCTATTTATACTCCTTTTGGGAGACTTGTAACCCTAGTTCTTAATTCATACTCCATACAAATATTCTACTATTCATTATCTTCTTCCCTCTCTTGAGCTCAATCTCTCCATTTATTACATAGTTTGGATCCCAATGCTCCATCAATGGTGCTTTCATTGAGAGTTTTGAGCAAATCAAGTGAGATTCCTCTCCACAAACATCAAGAAATTCATTCGAATCACAGGAAATCAACCAAAAATGTCAAGAACAGCAAAAAAATCAGGAAATGAAATATCTAGGCCGTCGAGCACTGTCGCGCCCCATCCGCCATCTGCCAGTGCACCTGCTGAAATTTGGGACGAAGAACTGATTTTCAGCAACAACAACAACAACAAAATGATTTGGGGAGATCTGGAACTTCAGCAAGAACGAGGAAAGGACTGGTCTGGGATCTCTGAAGTTTGGCCAGATCTAACGGAAGCTGCTTTCACCGTCCATGGTAGCTGTCATCAACCAGAGCTCACTGCTCTCTGGAACTCGCTGCAGCTGCTATCGGTTCACATACTGTTTAGTAAGAGGATAGCCATGGTGGCCGGCGGACTCAGAGTGATGGCCCACGGCGGTCGTTTCTCGCAGGTCACAACTCTTCCCTCCACCTCCATCACAAGGGCTCCGGTGGTCGCTCGAGGTTTGCTCCCCCATCTCCCTCTTAGCACCTACAGCCACTGCTCGACTCCGCACTTCGCTGCGGAGTGGGACTTCCTAGATTTCCTTCATTGATGGCGGGTTGGAGCTCAGTGAAGGTAGATTCGAAGCTTGACAGGTCTCCCACGAAACCGGACCCTGTGGCCATCCTCCGCTGCAACTGCCTGTACCTCCCTCGGTAAAGTAGCCGATGTAGGCAGATTGCCCTTGGGATGGTGAGCCGATGTTCCGAAAGTTCTTTCCTTAGACACAGAGTACTGCGTACCGATCATATTAACTTGGTTCTTCTCAGAGGACCACGTCTCCTTTCCTCCAGCCTCGTCGACCGGGAGTCGTCTCTCTCTTGAGCCTCCATTGCCGGCGGCATTAGATCCCAAGTTTGGTGACCTGGTTAGGAGTTCGGACGTACAATGCAGGGGTAAAAGCCCAGGCATGTTTTGGGTAAAAGGTGGGCTGGACCACCTTTTGCTCCAATCCAGCTCTACAACGGGCCAATTTCAGCAACACAACCAATTTTCAGCCCAATTCCAAAAGCTAAGTATTCTTAAATTATCTCCATACCATTAATCTGTGAACATATTTGATAAAAAAATTATTACAAAAAAAATCATAAATGAAATATTTTAATAATATAGCATCAAACTTCAATCTCGAGGGACGAGTCATCCGTGAAAAGACCCGTAAATAGCGTCTAGCGGATCCCAGCTACGAACTTGAGTGACAAGTTGAGCTAGATTATTAATTTACTATCATTATTTTTTTAAAAGTGTGTATTCTTTGACATTGAAAAAATGGACTTATGAATTCCGAGCATTCGCGTACACCGGGCGAGCACACACACTCGCGCTACCGGGTCACGTCAAACGAGTGTGGATAGTAAGCTTCCAATCCAAATGTTATCAAATGCATACTTTTAGTTTCTATGTTTTGTATGAGTTATGTGTGCCTCTAGCTATCGGAAATGAACTGCAATCCCTCAGCGGTAGGTTCGGTCCTTTATGCGTGCCACGCTCCAACTAAGCATTGAAACCTAGCTTGAGCTGCAGCTTGGAAATCTGAGGCAACTTAATTTAGGCCCAAATCCAAGCGAATTAGAAGCTCAAGAAACTATAACAATTTTATTTGAATGCATAGGTGCAACTAAATGATGACATCATACCGGCCACTTGGCGGTCTCTCCTGGTCATCTTTATTCGATGACTTGGACTTCTTATAGGCCTCTCAGACACATGTCTCTGTCACTTTATTTGATGACCTGGACATCATATTATGGATGGTCACTCGACCTATCTCTTAGTCATCTTTATTTGATGACTAGGACTACATATCATTCCGAGCTACGCACATACGAGGACCGATCTTGGTCATCCCTTTAGAAGATGCCGATGGTTGCAGTTCCACACCTAGGCCGAAGGGCTCACCCCTTTTGCTTCGTTTTGGGGGGCATCCAGTGTACTCTTTTTTCCTCATTAGGATTTTTTCCCACCGGGTTTTTTCTTAATGAGGTTTTTAACGAGGCATCTCCCCAACGTGGACAAAAGGTGTCGACCCTCGATCCCTTTTGAAGACATCACGAGACATGTACTACTCTACTCCTCTTCACCTTACTTACTACATTCACCTCAAGAAGTGGGGGACTGGAAGAGCGGGGGACTTGGCGCCTCAAATTTTTTCACGAAGTTTACTCACCAGACGACGACAAATCAGCACACAGTTCTACTCCCTTTTGCCTCGAGTACTCTCGACTCAGGGAGTGGGGGACTCCTGATAGAGTATATAGACTCGAACCCCCGGGTCTCACGACTATTGGGCCCAGACAGTGGCCCATTCACGCTTATCCGACGTCATTTATAGCATTTGTATTATTGTAGAGTTCATATATCATTTGTATGTACTAGATTAGTCTTTTATGTAGTTGGACCTATCGAGCCCATATTAGCAGCCCGACCCATTATTTGTCTATTTATACTCCTTTTGGGAGACTTGTAACCCTAGTTCTTAATTCATACTCCATACAAATATTCTACTATTCATCATCTTCTTCCCTCTCTTGAGCTCAATCTCGCCATTTTATATATGTTTGGATCCTAAAAATCCATCAATATGTTAGTTAGTTTTATTTGTTATCACACATTTTTTTGGGATAAGAAATATGTATTAATCTAATTAAACAATACCTTAGATAACACACGTGTTATTCAACTATTTTCAAATAACTGAACGCAAGATGTGAAAATTAAACATATACTCCCAAAATTAAAGTATTTTAATCTTCTGTAGAAGATAAAAATGTACATGAAAAGTAAAATATTAATATCAAATCATGATTACTCCATATTATAAATAACAAAATGTTCTACTTCATACGTAGTATAGAGACTCAGAATACGTAGTACAGAGACTCAAAGAGTATTACAACTACGTGGTACTACCTCCGTCTCTTAAAACTTTGCCAAAGTTGACCGGCACGGAGAATAATAAAGTAAAAATTGTGTGGTTGAGGTTTGTGCAGAGAAGAGAGAAATAACAGAAACCACAAAATAATTGATTAAAAGGGAAAGTGGCAAAGTTTTTTGAGACGTCCCTAAAAGGAAAGATGACAAAGTTTTAAGGGACGGAGGGAGTATTATTTAGTGAAGAGTCTAGATATACTTCGTAAAAAACACAACCTTAATAAGCCACAGATGCCAGCTTCTAAAGACTGTTGTGAAACCATATACTTTTATTATTGTACAATTTTTACCCCTTTTTCGGAAGGTCATGTTAACTGTATCCTATCATATCATCACACAATGTCACAACTGACTTTTGACCAAATTATCCTTATAAGCTAACACAGAAAATATATTGAGAACGTTAAGGTGTTCCTCATGGAACATATTATTGCATTGGACGAGCTCTCGTGAAAATGGGGCCCAGTTCTATGGTTTTGCAACGAGCCCGTACACAATAGCAACAAGCTCCATAAGGAACACATTAACATGTTCGGTATATTTGCGAGAGAAAACTTAAGTCGAACTTGATAAAAAATGCCTAAACCCTTCACACATTTTTCTTCTTTCGAGGAGTTGTCTCGTACGGAGGAAGAGGCACGCCAAAAACCCAATCAAGAACATTCAAGTATTTGGATTTGAAGACGTCCCGTTCTATGGCATAGCAATGCATTATTATTGCTGTTGAAATGCTAAAAATCACCACATCTGCTCTCTTTAAATTCTTAGCCCCTCGAGGCAAGTACCCCGCATCCGCCATCATTGTGAAGAAGCTTTCGATAGCCCGTGCCAGGCAATAGAGTGAGATCTCTATCCGCCGGCTCTTCTTCTCAATTCCCAAGGCCAACCCTGTCGGAAACTGCCCAGTAACCCAAACAACAGTAAACAAAACTAATACTTCAGAGTATAGTAATAAATATCAGTATTTTTTTAAAGGTTAAATATATATGTATATAACAATAAACATGAGTAATAGAACAATAATAATAATAATAATAATAATAATAATAACGTAATGTTAACGTTTATAAATCAATACCGTTCCTGCTGCAACCATAGGTATGTTACATCTCTGTAAAATCCTAAAAAGGATGCAGGTCCAGAGCCTAAGAAAAGACAACAATGATGAATTTGAGTGAGTCCAAATAAATATAGTAATATACTCTATGTCTTATGTCTAGATTATACAGGGTATAACTTTTCTTGAATGCAATCTTGAATGGTAAGTTTGTGAGTGAATTTAAAAATCAATGTAAAATGGCAATAAATAAATGACTACTGCAATGAAACTATATGAATTTATCATCTGATTCCTTTTAATGTAAACTCTTATTGTGTCAAAACACCATTTTCTTATAATGCAAAAAAATATTTTTCCTTCAAAATTCCTATGTTGTCAAAACCGGACCAGAGGTCAACCCGAACAACGGGACAAGTGACCGGGTCAAGGGTAACCAAGCATTCCAGCCCAGCTGTTTGTGAGGTTATCGTGCCTAGTGGGAGGTCTCGAGTTCGAAACCCACTAGGCACATAAGGGTTTGAAACTCAATGAAGTGAGTTTCAGCCCTGATTACTCCAGCCCCCCCCCCAGACCCCCCGGAGTAAAAAAAAGACCGGGTCAAGGGTCAACCTGGTCAATAGTGACTAAAAAATAGAACAATGAAATATGTATAATTATATATGATTCTAAAGATGTAAAGGGAAAATTACTGTCATTCACAATTTATAAAGATAATACTTCGTATATAATAAGCACGGAAACGCAAATAGTATTCCAAATTATACAGTTTTAACAAAACTCAAAATGCATTTGGGATGAAAACCCTCATGAACATAACGCTTATGTAGAATATGGTTTCACATAGTTGGGCGGTATAATAATACCAATACTAATTATTTTTCATGATTATTAGTTAAAAATCAATAGTAAATGCTTTCAGCTTAAACATGTAATACAAGATAGCATTCCCGACATACTTGCCTAAGTAGTGAACTTGGCTTGTAAAACGTAAACCTTAACTCCCAGAAATCGACTTGTGTTCGAATACCGCCTGAGGAGAGGTTTGTTAAGTAAAGAGAGTGTAGCACATCACTCAGCACACGGGACTCTCCGATAAAATCCTCCAGATTCACCATAACTCAGTCCCTTATTTGGGGGAGTTGTTTTTTTCTCTCTTTTTTCAAATCAAAACTGTCCTACATTTATCCCCACACCTTAAACGGCATAATAATTTTTTTTTTACCACTTTCTTTTCCACCAGTCCCCTTCCAACCCCTCTTTAGAACCAAACAAGGGCTAAGAGTCAACACTCAACAGTGTTTGTTAATCATAGATTCTTAGTTTAGACATTCACTTCATTTACAGAATGACAAGAAGCCTAAACTCTAACATTAAGTATATTTTTAAATATGAAATAAAAGAAAAAAGCACTACCAATCAACATTCATAACATTGGGAAGCACTAGTGGCACGTGACTATGGAAAGTCATGTAAAATCAAAATACCAAAGTAATTGCTTACCAAGCAGACGCACAATATACAGATAGAAACAAACTAGATCTTGCTGTCCCAAAAATACCCTTCCACAAAATTGTATATGGCCTGATAAGATATGGAGACAAAAGGTCATAAATCATGAATCAGAGTTATAACTAAAAAAGGCTATTCCAGAAAAGTTCATTTTGATGAAGCCTGGAGATTCTTCAGATGAAAATATAAGCACGCTAAAAGTGATAAATATAAGAGATAAAAATCATGGATTTATGAAAGAAACATTTTTCTCGTTACCATAGCAGCTTTTCACACTTGAAAATAAAAGAGAGCAAAAGTAAAAAGAATAAACATAACTTATTGGCAATAATTAAGTAGTTTCTGGTTAAGCGTACTGAGATAGATAATTTCAATTCACACCAGTTTTCATATTACTGACAAGTAATGCAAAAATGATTCTACAACCCCTTCACACAAAATCCCTTATAGAGCAAAGTTTTGAAAACTGAAAGTGCCACAAACCCACGACTCAATAAAATTAATATGGAATAAAGCACAAATTAGGGTAAGATGGAAAATGACAAACTATAAAGAAGATTGTAAAAAGATAACCTTTTCAAGAGACCTTGCCGATGCACTATCAAAGCAGGAATTAAATAAACTGGAAGGTAGACAGGCAAAGCTCTCTTATAGGCTTGAATTAGGAAGTTTAAAAAATGCGCTCCACATGTTTGATTTCCATGCACCATCTGCGTAAAGATGAGATTTTCTCACAAATCTGCAATGTACATATGAGAGCAGACCTGGGTATTGGCATGACTTAAAATGGAGAATGTTTGTATAGATGTCCAAACTCAAAGAATCATTACCATGCATGTTTCCAAATAGCAGTTACTGGCCCATTATTTCACACAAACACACAGCTATACTGGTAAATAAAAGAGCAATGTGCAAAGAATATGTTATTAGATGCCAGAAGATAAATTACTATTATGCATTTAATCATAGCATAGACCATTATATCTAATAGCCATATGCTACATCTGCAGCATTGGTAAATTATCTTGGAAGAAAACACTAGACTTTGGGAACTATAGTTCATGTGCTCGGTGCTCCTTTATCAAAAGTTAAGATATTGAGATGACAGTGAGCCTATACTTCAATTATCTGTACAAAATAGATTGTTCGACTATTCTTATAAGCTATTTTCTTTTGTGATGGCATGAAAAGTATTTCATTAATATGAGATAACTTTCAATATTTCCACTGCATGAAAAGGATGTGAGTATGTGACCCTAAACCGCCTAAACTTTTGAGTCACTGACTCACTGGAAGGAAATAATAATTATGTGTGTGTGCATGATAGCAACCCATTCTGAAGTGAAGGAAAGTAGGAGTCTAGAAAACTAATTACAAGCCTGAGAGAAAATATGGATTTCTCATTAAAGTCTAGGAATCAATTAGCAAGGTTAATTGATTAACAACTTAGCGTGTTGAGTGATATGCAATATATTTCTCACCCTACTATAGGTTATATTCTACTACAAAAAAACTCCCTTTCAGAGAAGAGAGGCAAAACATAGTTTTATGGTAACTAGCAGCTTTGATGAGGAAAGAACATTTGGCTGGTCAGGGGAGAGTGCCTTTGAGGGCTCTTAGAGGGTTTAGTTGAAGTTATTTTATTCTCTTTTTTCGAATAATAAACTTACTACATTGTCTCGAGTCGCTAGTCTTTTACTATCTGATATAAAACGCTCACAGAAGTACGCATTCATGAAACATTGTCCAATTAAGGAAAGGCGGTAAACTTGAATTCTCCACACATACCGAGCAAGGAACTTTCATCTGAGGATCAAGTTTGATGTCTAGACCAGTAGATTTGTAATACTTCTCTATGACATGCAAATTTGTTACAGACTTGCCACGTGCAAGGTCTTTCACGCCATTTAATATAACAAGGTCTTTTCCTCCATGTTTATTGAGAAAAGACTTGTAAGATTGAGGCAGACTCTCTTGCTTTAATATATAAGCTGACCTGAAATATAGTGATTTCCTAGTTTCATAAAATATTTTTCAAACACAAAACAGAGTACAAATGAAAAAGAGAATAAGACATCCAAAACCATCTGAAAGTACAAAGCATTATCAATATATCAGTAGAAGCAGTGTACATCATATTTGTAAGATGGGTCAAGATGCAGTTGAACTTTTTGGTACTTCCATGAGAATCTAGGATCTATCTAAAAAGATAACCAAGTGATGCATATGAGTGATTGTTGCTTTGTTCCTAGACATGGTTAAAAACATTCTCAGATGGATAAAACTGTAAAAGCACTTTTACGTGTGAAGTCTTGCAGAAATTTACTCATATATTGCGAATATTACTGATCGCTGAGAGGACAGGATATTATTTCTGTGTACCAGGCATCCTTGGACTGATAGACTATAAGAGAACATTCAGTTTCATAGCTTGAACCTAGGAGTGCTTAATTTAAAAGACATGTTCATGGCATATCGATGTTCAACATCCCCAGTTAGTGCACTGACAGCAGACAAACAAACGTACTTGCACAAATCGACACCGAAAAATATTTAACGTGTTAAGAGTATTAACCCTTTTACATTATGATGTCATAGAATGCAAACAATCCCTTAAGCAAGTAGCCTTAAAACTAATATAAGTTGGATACCATTAGATATACTTACAGAATTTGTGAAGAGGATAGGCACATCAGAAAAATGTCCCCGTGTGCCCAAGTTAGTGGCTTACAGACACGCCCAAATCTTTCACTTTTTATTCCGCATCGTGAGGCCAAAACAGCAGCTCGCATAAGGATGTAAATCGCCAAGCTTGTATGTTGGTTATCCAAACCTGTGAGTAGCATCGAAGGTCCTGCTATTGCTCCTGCTAGCAAAGATCTCCATTTTGCTGTCCTGAAATCGTTATTAGGAATGACAAAAAACTGCAGTGAACAATCAATCCTCCCTAAATAATTTCACTCAAAAGAGATAGAATAGTTCCATGAGTGAGAAATAAAATCAAGCACTACTACCTACGGTGACCACCCAGAGCAGAAATAATCTCATCAACTGAAAAACTCTTCTCCGCTCTTGCTCGCCTCCGCCGCCGGCGATCCTTGCCTTACGCAAAGTAAATTATATGCATCCTTTTAAGATACCTGATCGGCGCTGATTTTACCCAGATATGTGTTTTTCATCTAGAAGTACTCGTCATCTGGCCTTGTAGAGAGGATATCCTTGGCAACTACTTAAAGATTGTATTTCCACCTTTCCTCATTGGACCACTCATGTCGCAGTTTTGTGATATGTGAGGTAGACCACCACCAGTGATGTATTCAGGGTTGATCTTGGTGAACTCTGTGAAAAGACCTGCATCGAGAACTTCCCACATTTCATCATGGAGTGCGCAGAGGTGAACTTTCATGCGAATCCTCCGGTCATCAAACTTTGTTACTGAGAACATAAGATTCTTTGAAAGAGTGTTATCCATAATATGAGATTAAAGAGGCTAGAACAAGTGGATCTCTGTTCAACAAGTAACCTAAAAGATTACAAGAACGAGGAGGCTCTGATACCACTTGTTGGTCCCGTTTGTAATGGGAACAGTCTAGAGGGGGGGTGAATAGACTGTTCAGGAATTTAAACTTTTTTCTAAGTCAAAACTGACTTATCAGAGATGGTCGAAATCTGGTGACAGAGAAGGTCGAGTTCTGATGACAGAACTGGACCTGGCAGCGGATTAGGTTCTGTCCGGGTAGCCTCAGACAACACTAAGGCAAATGCCTTTCTGATAACTCTTAAGGGAGATCTGCTGAACACAGAGTCCAACCTTTTGAGTTAATCAGTAGAACCTTAAGTGCGGAAATTAAAAGCTTAAAGTAAATGACACCGGGGTTTTTATAGTGGTTCAAGGAACAACTTGTTCCTCTAGTCCACTGTTCCACTAAGCTTGCAAAAACAACAGTTTACAACGCCTTAGTCCCTAGAACTTAAGAAGCTCTCCACGTCTTCTTCAAGCCTAGTTGCCACCCGGGATGCAGTCCTGCTTCCTGATGGCTGGTCTCGTTTCACTGAGTCTCTTGAAGTATCCCCACTTCACTTACTCAAGCTAATTTGAGACGTCCCTTCTTTTTCAAGAAGTGTTTGATTCAAAATCAGTTTTCTCCAATGTTGCTTCTTCACAAAGGATGAGTAGATGAAGTTTTCGAAGTATTGAAGAACTGAGGAACTTTGCAACTTGCTAGTTGGATGAGGGACTAGAAAATATATCTTCCAACTGTAGCCTTTTCTTGTTAAGAATGAAGTTTGAATCTCAAGAAGGCTTTTAGGTATTTGATTTAGAGTAGAATGATCTGAGCAAGTTCGTCTGGCAGATGTTGTAGCAAAGTTATTCTCGTAGCTCTTCAGAGTGTATCTTATATACTGGGAGCAGTCTTCCCGTTGGAGTGTAGAAGACAGCTTCATTAAATGCTTGTACTGTTGACTTGACCGGTTGGACCTTCGACTTGCTATTTTGGGGGCGTGAAGATACTCGCATGGTCAATCATCAGCTTTAAATATCTCTTCGTACGTACAGCATTAAATGTGCATTTAATGTGTGTACAGTACCATGTTTCCGTTGAAAGGTTCGTAACCGTTAGGGGATTTCCCGTTAGTTTAACGACCGTTGGTAAGTGCTTTCGGAATCTGGTGTGTTTGACAAAGACTTATGAGGCTCTCTGGTTCAATCTTTGAAGTCCGCCTCTGTTGCCAACTCTGGTACCAACACTGATGACCAGTTCTGATGGCTTCTCTGGTGAGCAACTCTGGGAGCAACTCTGGTAGAAGCAAGGTGGATCTCTGGCATGTGGGCTAAGCTAAAACTTATAAAAGAAATTCTAATACAAAAATTCTAAAGGGGTACATTCAAATTCTAATTAACCTAGCATCATCAAAATCTAAAAACATTTATTCCTTACACATGTCCCTGCCGAAGGCAATCCCTCAGTTACCCACATGTCGGGACTTGAGGGATTGCTTTGCCGCTTGTTGGAATTTTTCACCATTTTTGTAATTTAATGATTTTCCCGAAGGGGTTCTCCAATCCCCCACTCCTTGAGGCACTTGTAAAGTGGTGAAAAGGAGTAGAGTTTAGTCCGTTGTAGCATGGTGCCGAAGGCTAACGCTTTTCGTTTCATTTTGGGGGGATGCCTCGTTAAAAACCTCATTAGGAAAAACCCTGTGGGAAAAATCCTAATGAGGGAAAAAGAGTGCACCGAATTCCCCCAACGATGAATCGAAAATGTGAAACCTTGGTTCAAAATGGAGAATAACGGTAATGCCGAAGGCTCTCCTTGTTCTGAGGGCTCATGTGTTGATTAGCCGAAGGCTTGCGGTTGACGTCCTGGGAGGTGCCGAGGGGGAGCCCCTCAATATGGGGATCGAGGGCGTGATGGATGAGGGCAGTAGTTGAATTGTTGTCGGGGTGTCCCCTGCTTGTTGATTAGTTGGTGATGAGGATATTCGAGGGCTCCCCATTACCTGTGTGCCGTAGGCTATCCGTCAATGAGGCATACTCCCCGGGGGCTACCCAGCCCTTACAGTGCTGAGGGGGGATCCCCGAGGGGTGGCCTGATATGAAGCCTTGGGCTTCTGAAGGAGTGATCCCGAAGGCGTCCGTTATGTACTGTGTGGGGCACAACCCGGGAGCGTCTCTTGGTAAGTGTACCCGGAGGCTTTCCCTGATGAAGTGGAGTGAAGTAAAAAACCCAGGGGCTCCCAGAATGTAGCCGTTGGAAATATAGCCGTTGGAATATGTAACGTCAGGATATAGCCGTTGGGGGGGGGGGGGGAGTACACGTGGTGCGTGCTCGTTGGCTGCCCGTGGGCGGGCGTCACCGATTGGGTGGAACCTCGGTTGGTAATGATGGCAGTCCAACCGGAGGCCCGGTTTCCAGGCCCAAGCCCGGATCCCAGCGCCTATAAATACCCCAAAGCCAGGGTCATTCTCCTTGTGCGAAATCCTTATAGCGAAGCTCTGCCAAATTTTCTAGAGAGAGAAACAGCAGCCCTCGATCAAATTCTTATTCCCAGGTCAGTTCTCCACTCGCACTTCACCTCTTTAGTTAGCTGTCTTGTGCCCTTAGGCTAGGAGATAGAGGTTTTAGAAAACACTAGCGTCTACGAGCCCTCGAACTAGAGCCAAAATGTCGTCCCAGAGTGATTCCCAGGACATCTCGGGGGCGCCCTCGATGGAGGATGAAGTCCTCTCGGAGCTGATGGAGTCCTCAAGTGCACAGTCTTCGGTGGGACAGGATGCCGCCGTCGCCCTGGAGCTGCAGAAAGCCCTCGTTGCTGAGGTGGAAGCCGAGGGCTTCGAGCAAGAATGTGAGGATGAAGAGCTCGCCCTAGCCTGGCAAGCAGCTGAAGAAGAGGCGCAAAGATAAAGCGCGAGGGTCACCGTTGCTGTGCTCCCCCCTCGGGGTGCTGGTGAGGCCAGCACCTCTCGGCCGCTGGACGTGGTTCCCATCCGGGTGGCCCCCGGAAAGAAGAAGGCCAAGGTTGCTGCTCCCAAGAAGAAGGGCAGCGTTGCAGATCAAGGGAAGCCCCTCGATATGCCCGAGGGGTACTCCTACCTGAACACCGCCACCTTGGAAATAAGGTCGAAGGTTGATGCGGCGGACATCTACGTCACTCAGCTACACGTGGGCCCCTCGGCCATCGTGGTGACACCGGGTCCAGATGGCGTCCTCTCCCGGGCTGCCGAGGGCTGTATTGCGGTGCACGTTCTCTCGGTGTCCATGGGGCTCCGCTCCCCCCTGCACCCTTTCCTCCGGGAGTACCTCCGGTTCGTGGGTTTGGTCCCCTGCCAGCTGACCCCGAACAGTCATTCCTACATCACGGGCTTCCTCCAGCTCTGCAAGTCCCGGAGGGTGACACCGAGCCTGGACCTCTTCTTCCAGAGCTTCAATCTGTGCCGGGGGGGCATGCGAATGCCGAGGGCTTCGCAAACTTGCAGCAGGTGGCCCTGTTCAAGCTCTTCACTTAGGCGCCCTCCTCGAACAAATGGTGGAAGGACCGGTGGTGCTATGTGAAGCTGACCGAGAGCCCCTTCCCGAGGGAGTTGCGTGACAGGTTTAGGAGGCACGAGAAGAGGAGGAGCGCCGCCCTCGAGAAAGACGGCAGGATCCTGGCCACGATCCCGGAGGGCCGGGACAAAAATATTACCATTAAGGAGTGCACCAAAGAGGAGGATCTCTACACCCTCGGGTTCCGACGGTATCGCTTCCTGGGGGAAACAGATGAGAAGTTCCCGGTGTTTGAGGGAGCCTCCGGAGGTAGTGGCTGAGGGCACCCTCATTTTCATATCTTAGCACATAGTTTATCTGTTTGTTTTTTTATTTCTTGTGCCTTCTGTTAGTAACCCCTCGATTTTAACCCCACACTATTTTTGCAGGTATCCCAGTGAATATGATGAACGTCAAAGGCCTTGCTCGATTCAAGAACAAGCCGGCCAAGGATCCGAAGGGGTCGGACGCGGGCGGCCAAAAGCCCGTCGGTGCGTTTTTCAAGAAGCCTGAGGGCGACGCTGCGGCCGCGAAAAGGAAAACGACGGCAAAGGAGTCCCCCAGGCCACCAAGAGATCGAAGAAGGGGGACGCCATGAAGAAGGACCCCCCGGTAGTGATTGTGGATGAGCCTTCAGCCTCCGGGCCGGTCGTGGATGTGCCGACGATTGGAAAGCCGACGGGGACGGAGGAGATGCCCCCCGAGGTCCTGCAGGTTCTCCTCCCGAGGGGAACAGCCGTGACCAACTGTACGGTCAACCCGAGGGTACTCCTGAGGGGCATGACCCCGGGAACAGATGGGGCCACCTTCGGAGCTTTGGATGACGTGGCGCTCGAGGACCAGATCCTCTGATCTTCCTTAACTGTGAGTTCCCTCGTGCTTCCTTCCCTCCTTCTTCAGATTATCTTGCGTGGTTGTCCTGACAGTTTGCGTTGTTGATTTGCAGGCTTGCCTTGCCCTCGGCGAACAGGCCCGACGGTTGGAGGAGTGGCGCCTCCACAAAGCTGGGCAAGACGCCAAGATGAAGGAGCTCATTCTTAAGGACTCCAAGGCCACGAAGCTGATGGCCCAGCTCGAAGAGGACCTCCAGCTTGCGAGAGCAGAGGCCGGAAGGCTCAGGGAGGAGAAAGCCAAAGCTGAGGAGGCTGCTGCGGAGGCCGCAAAGAAAGCCGCCGAGGAGGTCGAGGCCGTCAGAGCGAAGGCCGTCGTCAAAGCTCGTGAAGAGGCCATCTCCGGGTT